AACCCAGCAGGCAACATTTGATTCATGTGAACTCAATTACTTCTGTCAAACACATCCATTTCAATAAAAAGCAGAAACTTCCAAAATGGGCTTTTTCTAACCATTTTGTACTAAAAAAGAAAATCATATGACTCCTGAGGGGGAAAATAACATGGAAATAATGATAAATTACAGTTAAGGAAACACACATGGCTAAATGGATTTGAGTTAGTATTTGTTTCCTAACACACACACACACACACACACACACACAGTTTCAAAAAAATGATTTTGCATACTTATAGTAGTTAATTACAGAAATATGAGGCATGTATCTCAGCGTGATTAAGCTAATATATAGCACATTTTAAGTTAATAAAATGAAAGCCAGAGTATTGTATTGTTTGACTCAACAGAGATTATAACAGATACAGCTGTCTACTTCTTTTAAAGGAAGTTCAGTGGGAGCTTCATATGATATGAAGATAAAGGGTCTTGCATTACTTAGATGGCCTTGTCCACTGGACCTATGCTCTGTATTCATCAAGGGTGTGATAATATAGTTAATTACCTGCCTAATATTCTCAATCCTGAGATTCAAATTCTGAAAAATCTTAGGTCAAGCCCCATCATGCCTACAGGTGCAATGGTTCACACAGGGATGACTGACTGGGCTTATCAAGTCATCACCCAGAGTAGACTCTGCAAATATTCATATATGATAACGTACTGCAACAAATATATTCAAATTTCAGCTTCTTGGCATAATTACAACCTTAATTAAACCTTAACCTAATTTGGTTAGCAGAGAAAGTAAGTAATTAAATGGCATTATGTAATAAGGTCACTTTATAAATATGCTTCATAGGCCTCTTTTGTGCTTTGAAAAAAATTAACTAAGGATGGTGTCCGTGGTCTGGGATATATGAAATGTCAGTCATTTCAAAGCATAAAAATGACTTATTTCTAGATATTGAGAATTTAGACAATGAATCTTTGACTAAGAAACCATTGCTGTAAAAGATTTTTAGACAGAACAGAAAAATTCTGTATGTGAATAGAAATCTAAAAATAAATAAGCAAAATAGTATTTTGCTTACCTTATTACATTTTCTTTTCTTTTTGCTGAATCTACTCCCTTTCCTCTTGGTTTCCAATCTCTTTCTCATTCTTTAAATCAAAAATATACCACTCCTGCCATCAGGAGTGAGTAGTGTAGTAGAAGTAGAAAGAATCATTAGGGGAATAATAAATCATAAAGTAGGTAAACACTTATGAATCTAAATGAGTCTAAGAAAAGGCAGTGTGTGAGTAAATAAGAGTGAGGTGCGCCCTCGTGTTGACCTGTCATGGCATCCCTCCAGAAGCCGTACTACAAGACTGCAAATTGGAAGGGTGAATTGAAATTATCCAGGAGTGATGGAGATAGATGATCACTCAAGGGGGTAAAAGAAGAATTATAAAAGAACAAGAAAAATGCTTCTGGAAAACTGAACAAACATTGTATGCTTCACATGTAGAGAAGAGAACAAAAAGAGGAGCCAAAAATAAGAACAAACCTCATCATGGTCTGTGCTGGCTAGTTTAATGTCAACCTGACACAAGCTAGAGTCATCTGAGGGAACCGCAATTGTGGAAATGCCTCCAGTGAATCAGGCTGTGACTGGACAAGCATGTAGGACAATTTTTAAATTAATGATCCATGACTGTTAGCAGATTCATTAATGAGCTCAGCCTGTTGTGCTTGGTGATTCTATGAAAGAGCAGGCTGAGCAAGCCATGAAGAGCAAGCCAATAAGCAGCACTCCTTCCTGGCCTCTGTATTCACCACTCCCTACGGGAGACTGCCCTGCTTGAGTTCCTATCCTGACTTCCTTCCAGGATGAACAATGATGTGAAAGAAAAAGCAAATAGATCCTTTCCTCCCCATGGAAGTTTGCTTTGGATCATCTTTCATCGGAGCATGTAACCCTAAGACAGGAATTTAAGGTTAAAAAAACAATCTCAAAATGGTCACTACTGAGTTTTACAATGCAGAGAGGGAGAAGAAGACACATGGTGTAAAGCAGTAAGCTTTTCATTTCTTAATAGATGCTATTTTCACATGCTTCAAAGTCAAAACTATGCAAAACTATGCATCCAGCCATGCATTATATTTTAAAACAAACTTCCGATAAGGTCTAACTCTAGATTGGAGAAGGAAATAGAGGAGAGTGTTTCTAAGAGATAGATAACCGAGTGGTATTTTCTAGGGACATATCATGATGATTTGGATAGGTATTTAGAAAGAAAATGTCTGAACCAGTCTGAGACTTGTGCTCGATAAGATTATTCCAAATATCACTTTCTACTTAATATTTAAGTAGCATAGGTTACAGTGGTATAACTTAAGTCCTATGGCATTTCTGCCATTCATTATTCACACAGAAACACTATCTCTATACATTTATTGATAAGGTATGAGAGCATTTAAGATCCCAAAGCAACCTCTCAATTTTTTGAGAGTTTATTCAATGAGATGGGTTATTTATAAAATTGATATGTATAAATTCTACTAAATTGGATGCATAGTATTTTATACTGTTAAAGACAATTGGCTGGGGGCAAGAGAAGTGGCTCAGCAGCTAAGAGCCTTTTGCAGATAAAGGAGGCTTCATTCCCAATCCCCACATAGCAGCTCCCAATGGTCTAAAATTCCAGCCACAGCACCTGATGCTCTCCTCTTACTTCTGTGGGCACCAGGCATGCACATTGTACAGAGATATATTTAAAAGCAAATATTTACACAGGAAACATGGTAAAGTAACTGAAAATGTTTAAAACGGGCATTAGGAATATAGATGTCTCTCTGTATAAAATATCCAGTCTTATACACTCGGCCACACCACAAACCCTGAAGACGTTGCTCCACTGCCACAGGAATGAGACAAAGTCAAGAATTTAAATACATTCGTTTATTTTTTTTACTTATAATTTTCTAGCATGAGTATTTTGCCTGTATTATTTCTGTGTACCAAGTACAATTATTGGTGTGCAAAGAAGCCAGATGACTATGTTGTATTTCCTGCATCTGAAGTTACAAACAATTGCAAACTGCCATACGAATGTTGGGATTTGAACTCAGGTCTCCTGCCACAATAGCCCATGCTCAACCATGAAGCCATATTAATATGGAGGAGTTTTTAAACACAGAATTTGTAATCCATCCTGCTCTCACTGTGCTCTCTACTCAGTGATGAGGCAAAATAATAATAATAATAATAATAATAATAATAATAATGTTAGCTTCTCACACTAGCAGGCATTCATATAGAAGTACCACTCCCTTGAGATATGACACGTTCAATGACAGTGCCAATAGAGTATTTTCATCGCATCAATTCAAGTTTCATCCTCTAAGCATTCAGGAATTTCTTATACCATCTGTTAATTGGAATGAGAACCAATTTTGTAGTGGTGTAACTTAGCCTCTACCTACTCCCTAAAACAACATAAATGATCAGTAGATTATTGCCTTAAAATGACAATAAACAGTAAGGGAAATTACTTATAAACTTTTTGTCTATATTTTATAATGAACTTTAGGCAATATTAATTTAATTGATGTTTTTATCATATAATTACATAAGACCTCATCATAAACGAATTCAACTGTTGAAAAACAAAAGAAAAACCAAAACATTAGACCTTTTACATAAATCTAATCAAACTATGATTCACTACTACAAAAACTTAGGATTTAGTCACACAATGTCCATTGGACAACATTCCTAAGTGTATATGTGTGTATTTGTATGTATATGTGTGTCAAGAATTTACATTGAAAAATAGCTATATAATCAATTATAGGTAATAATGCAAAAGTCCTAAAATAGGAGCTGATACTGAAAAAGGAGATGTTAGCTCATACAAGAGATTTCGAGAGAATTAATAAACCAGCCTCTCTGAGATTGCCAAGTAAATGATACTATTTTGTATCTCTAGATGTTTAATGAACCTAAAGCCAAGCTTGAGCAAACTAGGTAGGTTAGTACACATAAAAGGAACTTAGGAGACAAGAACGCTTATGAAAGCAAGAGAAGGTTTTCTCCTCAGTCAATACACATGAAGTCCTTGTTATTACTTAAAATTAGGATATCACGAGAGCACACATTTTCAAAGGAAAATCATATGCTTTCTTCCTCATACACTGTTCTGTTTGGTCTGAAGTACTATCTTGTTTCAGAAAGCCATTGACAAATATCCAAGTCTGAAAGGGCAACTTACCACACTGTAGGCAAAGCGAGAGCATTTTCAAATGAATGAGGAAGCATGCATGATCAAGTTTCAATTTAAAAGAAAAATTAAAGCAGGAAGAAAAAAACTCTCCAAGTGCAAATTGCTTTGAAATGACCTTTCTGTATTGGCTCTGTCTCCGAACACTTATTTTCATGGGGCACTGGTTATTATGCATTTAAAATTGATCTATAAATTTTGAAAAGCAAGCATATAATTGCAACCATATGTAAACAACATAGTAAGCTAAGTCCTGTGAGATAACAAATGTTTGTTGTTTTTTTTTTTTTGAGAAGTTCATATTGCTGAACCTACTTGCGAAGAATTTTTAAATGGCAGTTAAAAGCATGCCAGGACAAGATTTTTGCAATTACATTTTGTAGCGCAAAACAAGGATAGAAAACAACTTCATGAGAGAAAACCACAGTGGTAGACGGACAATCCTGCATTGGATGATGAGAGGCTATTGGCTGTGTCATTCAAAACTTCTGAAGATCAGATGAATATGAAATATCATATGGAGAGTCAGACACTCTCTGAGCATTAATTATGTATCGTCAGTAGAATCGTGCATTAAATCTTTCATCATGGCTTGGAAATTTTGAAACTCAGAGAAGAAATCAAACTTGAAGGGAAATATTCTCCATAAAAGTAAAAGGTCGCTTGCAATCACTGGCGGAAACACATACACATGAGCCAAGAGAAGCAAATGCAAAGCCCTCACAAATTCACAGGCAGAGACTTACCTTGACAGGTGCCATTTTTCTCTTCGTATCCGGCCATGCACATGCATTTCCCGATGGGAACCAGCCACTCCCCTTCAGCACTGCAATGCATTTTGGGAGGATCGTCTGTCACAGAATGGTTGACGCAGGAGCCTGACACCTCTAGCAACTGTGAAGAATCTGCTCCAGTGATAGTGTCAGGGAAGACAGCCAAATGTCTTACTACAGAAGGACATTTTTTATAGTAGACACGGACAGAAACCAGAGCAATGCAAGCACCCACATCTTGGAAAGCAAGGTAAAATCCCTTTTTGCTCAGAGGTCCTACATCTCTGACTTCCGTATTCAGTTTCATGACACGGTCGCCAAGATCAAGTTCTGTGAAGCTCTCATCTGCAGCGATGGTATCAATCTTGATGTACTGGTTCTCCTTGATATTTCTCCCATTCTCATCATCCGATTCGAAATAATACATGTTAAATGTCTCCTTACAGGTCCCCAGTCCCCCGGGAAGGCTATTGCAATCCCGTAGAGTAAACTTGAGTTCAATAAAGATTCTGGAAGCACCTTCGTTAGAGATCCAACTGGTCAACAGCCAATTATTCTGATTCTGTTCCATAACTTTGCACACTTGATATGTGTGGATGGGCGCGTAGTTTTCATCAACTTCACCAATCTCTTCCCACTGTACAAGACGAAATAGAAAGACGTGAAAAATGGAAGCTCAGAATGTAAACAGGAAAAGTCACAAAAGCCATGAAAACTAATTTACCGACAGAAATATATATTCTCTCATATATATTGCTGAAGTAAGCCATATAAAAAACTTGGGGAGAAGAAACTCACAAAAAAATAATTTTTTGTCTTTTTCAATTTCCTGAATTTCATGTTACGGATTCAATTCGTGGTCTCGGGCATACTAAGCATTTACTCTCCAACTATCTGTATCTCTACATACCCAGTTGTTACGTATTTCACCAGATTAACCCAAGGATGGAAAAATTAGGAAGTAAATGGCTAAAGAGAAAAAATGTATATTTTTAGAATAAAAATTTTAAAAACAGGTATATGTATAGTGAACAAAAATAAGGATAATTGAAGTATTTTGGAACAAAGGTTAGTCTATACATAAGATTAAAATTATAGTTTGGATAGTACCTAAGTCATCTATGGGCTGAAAATTTGATTCTAGCTCACAGAGCTATTTGGGAGCTATTGGCACAATGAACAGTGACATAGCAACAAATTGACTACTGACATATTGATATAGCCATAGATGAGTGGACCACTCAGCCCTCATCAGAGAAGCTTCTTGCAGTAGATGGCAATGAACACAGAGACCCATAACTGAACAGTGTGCATCAAGTGAGGGATTTGGTGCTAGATAGGATGAGTTTGTTGTTGTTGGTTGTCTTTTTTTTTTTTCAAACTCTTTCTCTCAAGGCTCTTCAGAAGAGAAGGTAGAAAGAAGGAAAGAGCCAGAGGTGGTGTATGACTTCAAGGAAACAACTTCCATACACAATAGAAGGACACACATACACACATATAGACCTTCAGAGACTGTGAAGGCACTTAAGATCTGCACACCTTCAATCCAGATAAAATCTAAACACTGAGAAGAGGAAGTGGGCACAAAGGCCCTCCCCTTCAGAGAAGCTACTTGCAAGTAATGCCTGCTGGGAAAGAGGAATCTGCTTTCTCCAATGGAGTGCCACTTTCTAAGGGTAGGTAAGCCCCATTCCAAGAACAATTAATTGGCCAACACAAAACTGACTTTTTCTTTTCCCTTTTTTTTCTTTTGTTTTGTTTTAAACCAGTGTGGTTCTTCGTTTCATTTTGTTTGCCTGTTTGTTTGTTTTGATTTATTTTAATTTGTTTGTATTCTTTGATTGTTGGTTGCAGATTGGGGGTGGTAAAGGAAGAGAGAAAGATCATTAAATTTAGTAAACAAGGAAGTGGAAAGAACCCTGTAGGAATTGGGGTAACAGACAAGAGATCATTCTTTCCTGGGAACATGAGAGCGTGATCCTTTAGTTTCTTCTCTAGTTTTTCCTGAATGGGTAAGCAGTTATCTTCTCTGCCACATACCCTGGCCAGCACTTCTGAATCACCCCAGGGCTAACAGCAGTGGGACCCAACTGATTAAAGACCAAATTCATTAAAACTGCAAACTAAGATTTAACTTTTCCTTCTATGACTTAACTACATGAGGTATGTTTGAAGTAGTCGTAAGCGAACAAGGAAAGTAAAGTTTAACTGGAAAACAGTTTAACTTTAAAAGAAAAATTGAGAATAGAGAACCGAAGCACACACAAAAAAAGATTTTATATTTTAGAACATAGTCACCTATTTAATATTTTTAAATTTGCAGAGGACATACAAATATAATAAAATTTGAAAGGAAATCTATTAGTTCAAAACGAATAATAGATATTTAATTCACAGAGTTGCTTATTCAGAAAAAAATTCACTAATTTGAAAGCTAAACAGGTGTTAATTGATTTTTCCATAGCTCAGAGAATGATTAAATTAGAGATAAAATCTATATATTTGACCAGGTTTACTCTTGTCATTTTTCATATTAATTGTGTCAAAAATAGAATGATAGATTTATATTGGTGTATTTACAACCATCTTAACATTCTAAATGGATACTACATATAATAATAATAATAAGTAGTCTTTATATAAATTCCAAAACATAATTTGAGCAAATAGGATTTATAAATCACTTATTCCCACTGAAGTATTTAGAGAATCTTAAGGTATCACATCTATAGAACAGCCATCTGTAGACACTCACTGCTTTTGAGACACCAGTTAAGTTCAAGAAATTTTACAAAGTTGTACAGAAACTATTTAAGCTCTATATAATTAATTATATAATTATACTCTATACAAGTTTTTAATATACTTGAAATATATAGCCAGCAACGGATAACACCAACTCTCAATAAATGGATGATATGTAGTTTTAGACATTGTGTATGATACAAAAGAAACTCAAAGAAGTTAGTTTCTGTAGATGTTAAATAAACATTAGCATTTTGGTTTCATTTTTGTTAAGTTCGCAAAGATATAGAAAACGTAGAGTCAATACATGGAAATAAATCTCACACTTCAGATTGCCTACCTAAAACTTCTAGCTGCCATTAGACAGACACATGTAAGAGGTGCTAATGAGAGAAAAACTGCTGAATGACTCAAATTGGCAAAACCACACACACACACAAATGTCTCATCATGACGGATTCCACATGTTTGTGTCACATGAGGGCTAAGTTCTTTCATTTTGCATTACTTTTTCTCCTTTAAAAGGAATATCAATTTTGTTATTGATTTTATTGCAGATAATCAGTCATTCTAACAACAAACTGATTATATATTCTTTCATGAGCAACTTGTCACTCTTTTATTGTAAATCACTCTTTCATATCATAATTGATATTTAAAATAAAATAATAATGAACAAAAATGTAAAAAAAGAAAACAATTTACCATAAGGTCAGTTGGATAGGTGTGTTTTATATTACTGATAACATTGATCAACAAAAGAAAAAAATCTAAACAATATTATACAAATATTTATCTTATGATAACATTTCAAGATGTAAAACAGAGAGTTTTTAATCATTCTCCTTCAGATGCTTATAGAAGACTTGTTTCTAAATCATATATTGCTACAAGGACCAGAAAGATAAGGTTGCCAAGTAAATTAATGCAAAATATCAGGATCCTCAAACATTATAAACCAAAGAAGTCACAGTCCTTTCAAGCAAAGAACCAATGCTAAGTATACAAGCTAAGCATCATTTGACAGGGCAGCAGCACACTTCCTGCTCCAGCGGCCAATTTGAAAACATATGCATTAATGTCATGGTACTCTAAATCACTTCAGTTAATGGAAATAAAGAATTTAAAAGCTGTTTTGGTACAATTTTATTTATATACTTTCAAGAATAATACTGAAGGCTCATAAAATATCTTTCAAGAACCAAACAGAAAGATTTCAAACATTGTAATGAATAAGTATGTAAGTAAATAAATAAATAGATAAATAAATAGATAAATAAATAAATAAAATTCCAAGAGGTACTGTAGAGACATCTCATGCCAGGTTCCACTTAAATACACTAAAGAATGAGAAAAATATTTATTTGTTTTAGATTAAATTTGAAATAATACCCTTAGTTCATTGATAGTTTTGGTTCTCTTAGCATAAAGAAATTATCTTGCTGTTCGTAGAAAAAAATAGATATGATGAAGAAAAAAAATGAGTAAAATAAAAGAAAGATAACAAAAAGAAATATCCTCCAGCAATAACCCAAGAAAGGGCTACATAAATTTCCAGTTACTTTTACAAAAGACTTATCAAGGAGATTACAGCAATTTTTGTGAAAGATATGCAAAACAGTGTCTTTTCAGTTTTTCTGGATAGCCTACGAATCTGTGGTTCAGAAAAATACCCTCAGATTTTTCTGCTGTTCCCAGTGAATAGTCTGTGAATTTTGGAAGGATTGGTTGCTGAATGTTAATCAGATGGACAATGCAGTTCAAACAATTCTCTACGGTGTATGCTCTAAGTTCATGTTCTTCTTTGCATCTTTTTCCTATTTATCTACTATGTGTTTGCCTTAATTTAAGCCCTGGTTATACAGATAGCTTAGGTTGGCATGGCACCTCTCACAGATGCTTAGAGATTTCTTTTTTCTCAGGCCCTGAAAATCCCTGGACATTTGCATTCTTCCTTCACACATGGACACGCCTCCCATGTCAGCCACATTCAGGGAACTGAGTCACTGATTTATGAGTGTCATACACTATTCTTTGTCTCCCGAAACTATAAAATGCTTTCCCTCTATCTGCAGACACTGAACATCTAAGTTTCGTGCCTGGAGTGCCAGCTATCCCTTCGGCTTCAATGTGACTCTCCTTTCTAATCCACCAGCACACGTTATTACTTCTTTTTTTTCCATTAATACTTGAAAATACTCAGGGCACAGAGTTTAGGCTATAATCTTCCTTTAGATTGTACTCCCAAATCCATACTAAGAAGCATTGTGTGAACGGAATTGATTCTGACCTTATTGCTATCAGGGTTATAAATCATCCAGTTCTGTTTTCATTATTTTATTTCTATTTATCTTCTCTTCCCTGCATCAAGGAATGAATCAATTGAAGTTAAGAAAGAGTGCTAAAGAAACTTCCTAGTCAACTTCTGAATAAAAATGCTAGATTGTCGTTGTTAAGAGGAAAGTCGTGCCTGGCAGTTCAGTTTTATTCCCAGGTATTCTGATCTCTTAATATATAAACAGAAATCCAGTCTCTGACATAACAGCTTTGCAAACTAAATTGAGAATTGAAGTTATCTACTGAGACCAGTTAAAAACACTAATATTCAATTTTTAAAAATAGCAGAAAAGGCATAAAATTTGGACTAATAAGCATTTTTAAAATAGAATATTTGAAGAGCAGAAACAATAAAGGACAGTTTAAAGCACACATGAGCACAGTAATCTTTAGACTCATTTGTCTTTGCAAGTCAACTGGACTTCCAGGACATACGTCTCCCTTTTATCTGAGGTTGGCTTGGGGACAGCTCTGTCCACTGCACAAGTTACTACTTCAGGAAACCATGCTAATATTATTAGTCATCATGTACTCATAAAATAAATCCTTTCTATG